TTTGTCTGTGGACAGCAGAGGGGTTCAAAGTTCAAGCATCAGAGTAACAGGGTGTCTTATATGAATCCTGGCCTCCTTGGCTTGGCTCCACGTGACTACCTGGTATAGTAAGGTATTTTGGAAAAACTCTTCCACGTGTCTCCTGTCTCTGTTCACAACACTACTCATACTAAACACTTCTGGCCACCAAATGTACGTGTGCCTTAGAGGCAGGGGACAAGGTTCCCACACAAACCATCTTTTGTTGTAAGCCATTTTGTTTTGGGTTTGGGTTGTTATATAGCAATAGATAACCAGGACAGGTTCAAAGAGCCAATAAATAATAAACTGTTCTTTTGCCTAGCCTTGTTCTTCCTGGAAATAACTCCCTGGAAAACCCTTGGCAGAGATAGATATCTGTGTTTAACTTTTTCTTTTCACATTAGATTTTCCTAGCATGGTTGGCAGAAAGAGATGGACAAGGTACAGGACTGTAAGTACTGACTGTAAGTAAGGACTGACAGTACTCAATGTACTGTGGTCATAGTTCTCCAGGGAGGCACAGAGGGAAAAGTCACTACAAAGTGCTATGGGTAGGTATACCATGAAGTTTTGGACCCAAATTCTTGTGTGGAATCCTTAGTTCTGGTAGACTCTATCATCAGAGCAAGAAAGACTTTATTTATGGCCTTAACTAAAAACATGTGAACAGGGCCTAGGGACTTCATTAAAAGCAAGCTTCCTAGACCCCTTTTCCACAGACCCATACCTTAATATCTTTTAAGTCTAATTGCCAGCAGAACCACAGAAAAGTTGCTTAAAAGAATGTACACAAAGGAAAAGAGAAGGCATATTTGCTTTGCTGTGCCCTTCTATTGTACTCCTAATCCTTTTAGTAAAATGACTGGCTATTCTTGTTTTCAGCTGACCTGTGTCCTAACTTCTCCTCCCCAGAACATGAAGGTTTGGAGGCTTCCTCTGAGCTTGGATCGAACTTCTCACACTAGGCATTTTGCCAGGTCAGGGTTTAGCAAACTATAGCCTGTGAGTGCCTGTTTTGTTATAGCCTGCAAGTTAAAATGATTTTTTGCATTTTTAAATACATAAAAACATAAAAGAAAGTATATTTTGGGACACATGCAAATTATATGAAATTCAAATTTTAGGGTCCATATAAAAAGTTTTATACAACCATACTTATTATTAATTTATGTATTGTTTGGGTCTGGGTCTTTGTACCTACAGTGGCAAAGTTGAGTAGTTGCATCAGAGATGATATGACCCACAAATCCCAAAATATTTATTACCTAGGGCTTTACAAAAAATTTTCAAATCCCTGTGCTAGTTACCAGGGACATGTCCTTAAGAGGATTAGTATGAGCAATTGGATAACTGTCCTTTTTTTCATCAAAGAACATGAACATGGTAGGACCCTACAGATCATCTACATCAAGGCTTTCATTTTACCTTTCCATTTCCTACTTTGAAGATGAAAATCTGAAGTTCAAAGATTCATAGGTGTTTCCTAAGTTTAGTCTGAGTTATTAGTAGCATAGGGACTTTGCCTTACTCTTGGTAGGATAACCCTGTCTATTCATCCTTCCTGAGTCCTAATATCTAAAGTGTGGCAAGATCTTGGACAAGTTACTTACTTTCTCTGTATCCCTGTTTCCATGCTGTAACATGAAGATTCTGAACTTAGTTTAGCTCCTTTCAACCCTGATGTACACTGCTGTTTAACAAGATGATACCTAGTTCTATAACAATAACAACAAAAACATAAGACTTGGATTCAGAAGCCCAGAATTCCAGCTCCTGCTGCTTAATATCCTTGGATAACATATGGCTTCAGCTTTCCTTCACAAAATGAGCATAATAGTAACATCTAGGTCAATAAGATGGGAGTTATGATAGGGCTCAATAAACAACAAAAAAGGAATTCATGAAGGAATATGAATAAATATTAATAATAAGATTTCTTCAGCTGTGATAATCTAAGATATTCTATTCCATCTTCTGTGGTGGGAAGGAAAAGGTATAAATTGGAAAAGAAGGAAGTAGGAGCTGAAAAGGGAAGGGATAAGAGGGGCAAAGAAAAATAAGAGGGTAGACAGAAGGAGAGGAAAAGAGAAGTAGTTGGGGAGGAGAGGAAGTTAGAAATGGGAAAAGATGGGGAGGAAAGATGGAAAATTTTAAAAAAGAGAAAGAAAATGTAGAATGAGATTGGGAGGAAGCTGGAAATAGGGGAGAGACATAGTAGAGGGAAAAGAAGACTGAGGTGTAGCCAGACAGAAGGCTATGTCACCATCCTCCCCTGCTGTTTGCCATCATTTCCCAGCCTTCTGTTCACTCTGCCCTCAACAACTTAGTTCCTCTTTCATAGTCTCTTTCTTCACTCTAATATTCCCTGACTTAAGCTTCTACTCAGATGATAAACTTAGCACCCTGTCTTCTCAGTTCTAACAACAGGGTATTCATTCTGCCTCAACCTTCCACTTCCTATGTCTTACCCAGCATGGGCTCACCTTGGACCTTAGCATTACTAGAAACTCACTATCTCTAAAATCTCAATTCCAAATATCCCATTCAGACCACCAGCATCTGTAATGCCAGCTCACTTGCTTAAGTATGGTACTGTAACCATTCTTTGACAGCAACACTTCTAATTCTTTGACCCCTTTCCAGGCTCATGACACATGCCAAAAATTGCTTTCTGTATGGTTTTGAGCCCACATACATCATCATAAACATTCTGTTGCCAATATCCTCTTGGCTCACTCTCCCTCTGTTGTACTTGTTTGGCAAAACTCCTACCCTGGATAAACTCAACCACCTGTCTTCTCTCTGCCTGCACCTGAACAAACATCTTCAAATACTTTTAAATCCATAATCTTCATAAAATTTATGACAGAGACCTTAACCTGCACAAAATCAATAGGTAGGGCCTCTGGAGGAGGTAGAACCTATGGGAGGAGCCCTAAAGCAGTGCAATCTCTTACCATGGTCAAATGTTAACCTGAAGGTCAGGGAGGAGCTCTTGGGGGATGATGTTGAAGTTGAGTTCTGAACAGGCGTATGGTAGTTCATGTATATTGCTCATGATGTTTGTACATACTGGATTACAATACTTCTCTCTTCCTGAATAAATACTTTTTGGTGACAGAATACCTAGTTGATTTTGTTTTAAGGTTGACAAACTCAAACACCAAATGAGTTCCTAATATTGCTCAGAAGTCCTACAGATTAGTTTTCTTTAGAAAGCCAGTTTTCCACCCTCAAAGATGTCTATACCTTCCCTTTTCTCAAACACCCTAATCCCTTCCTTTTGCCCTCGGCTGAATGCTTCCTTACCTTCAAACTTTCCAGTAATTGTACTCTTCTTGTAACTCCTATTACAAATGAACTTCTTTATCTCTAAAACCTTTTAGTTATCTAAGGCTGCTCTTGTGCTCTTTGGAACCCATCTGATTTTCTTTTCAAGGGGTTGCCCCTCTTCCTTTCTTTCACATCGATCTTAGTAGCTTAAATATAAGTTCTAATACAGCATTTGCCTCATAGAACACTTTGTGATGATGGAAATGTTCTGTATGTGCACTGTCCAGTAAAATTGCTTCTAGACACGTGATTATTGAGCACTTGAAATTTTGTTAGTATGACTGAGGAACTGAATTTTTTATTGTATTTAATGTAATTAATTTAAATAGCCATAAATGGCTGGTGGCTACCATATTAGACATCATTTCTAGTGTCATCCTAAGTAAACTAAGCATTGACCCCTTATTCTCTCAATTGTCTTCAGCTCCTCATCTCCTATCCATTCCTCTTTCAATGTAGCTTCAAATTAAATATAACGTGTGATCTGCTTTGGGCAGAACTGTAGAATTCATAAGTCTAAAGTCTTCCTGTTGCCAAAGTCAATTGATTTATCCTTATCTGCTTTATTTATTTATTTATTTATTTATTTTTAGAGAGGGAAGGCAGGGAGAAAGAGATAGAAATATCAATGTGCGGTTGCTGGGGGTCATGGCCTGCAACCCAGGCATGTGCCCTGACTGGGAATCCAACCTGTGACACTTTGGTTCACAGCCTGAGCTCAGTCCACTGAGCTACCCCAGCCAGGGCCCTTATCTGCTTTTAACACAGTGTTCACTGCTGCATCACCAAAATCCCACTCGAAATACTTTTTGCTGAAACACCACATTCATATGTTTTTTCTCCTACTTTTCTGGCTCTTCCTTTTTAGGCTCCTCCTCCTCCCTCCAATTTTCATTAAAGGTCTGTGATCACCAAGACTCATTCCTTAGACTCCTTTTCTCCTTTAAGATTGTTCTCCTTCATGCAGGGGGCAGAGAAACGGAGTTAGAGTTAAAGAGCTTCCCAGTGCAGTTAGAGTATAAACCCTAATTCCTTTCCTCAACTAAAGCGCCTGAATGACCTGCCACCAGTCTAACTCTCGCACCTTGTTATTCCCGTCATTCATATAGCTCAGGTCTTATCTTCTCTAACACAAGCCGTTTCAGGGTTTTTGCACACGCTTTTCTGTTTTCGTGGGACACTGTATTCTAGTATTTGCTTGGTTTTGCTCTTTCCTATCCTTATGTCTTTGCCTAAATGTCACCTCTTCAGAAGTCTTTTCTGACTGCCTTTCCCAAATTATTCATCCCTGTTATTCTTCCGTTTTTTCCCCTTCAAAGCTCATATTGCTATTTTATTTGTTGTTTGTTGCTATTTGCATTTATTTACTTATGCGTGTGTTGGCTTGTTCAGGTCGGCTGCCTCCCCACTGGAATTTAAACTCCTCGTGAGTGAATAGAGACAATAGGCTCTGCTCTCGCGTGTGTCGAGTCACAGAATCCAGCACAGACCGACCCCAGGACGCCTAGGATAAAGAACCGACTGTTTGAACCAATGAACGAGCGGGCAGAGGCGAAGGGAGGGGAGGGGGCGCGGCCCTGTCTGCCGGGCCCAGGCGCCACCGCCCGGGAGCAGTTGAAGACCCTCCTCTTCCGGCCCCCGCGAGGACGCCCCGGCAGCCCAGGCGGCAGGGCTGCTGCGGGCGCCGGCTCGGCCCGCCCTCTTCCCGCCGCCCCGCCCCGCGCCTCCGCCGGCCGGCTGCTGTCAGCTCCTTCAGCGTCCGGCCGAGACGCTGTGTATGCTGAGCCGCTGCGGCCGCAGGCTACTGCACGTCCTGGGCCTTAGTTTCCCGCTGCTGACCCGCCGGCCGCTTTTCCTTGGCCCTCACCGCCTCATGAAACCGCTGGTTGTGTTCGTCCTCGGCGGTCCCGGCGCCGGCAAAGGAACCCAGTGCACTCGCATCGTCGAGGTGAGGCCAGGGCAGCTGGCGGTCTCCTGGACTTGACGGGACGCTGGGCCGCCTTGTCCCGTCGCGCCCGCCGTCCGCGCCCCCCAGAGTCACGGAGCCGCGGACTACGAGTCCCGGCGACCGTCGCGCCACCCGCGTGGCGGTGGTCGGGGGTCCCCAGGCGCACGGCATGGCGGGACTAGTAGTCCACATCAGTCCGCCTCTGGGGGGGGCCCGGGAGTGGAGGGAGAGTGCTTGGACTCGCTTTGTTCCTGCGCCCTTCTTTCTTTGCATTTTGGGACAAAGTTCGTCTTGAGAGTAGGCACGGAGTGGAACTACGGGAGGTTCAGCATCCGGGGACTCCCCAGCGCGCAGAGTTCATTGTGGCAAAGTTCAACGTGTCGCTGGGTGTGGAATAATCACTGGCAGCAGGAGCGCCGACTTTGGTTTGAGGCAGTGTCGGTTTACAACTGCTTGTCTGAAGGGCACGCCTATTTTTCTTTCTGTTCTTTTTTTAATCCGCTCTCGAGGATGTGTTTATTGCTTTTAGAAAGAGCAGAAGGGGGAGTGAGTGCGGGGGCGAGGGGAAGGAGAGAGAAACTTCTATTGGTTGCCTCCCATACTCGCCCCAACCTGGGGAACGGGCTACCTAGGCAAGTGCCCTGACCTGGAATGGAACCCTCAACCTTTTGATGTAGAGGACCACGCTCCAACCAACTGAGCCACCCGGCCAGGGCGAGACAGATTTTTCAACTCTGTCGTTTCCTGTGGGCTCTCTAAACTACGAACCTTCAACTAACCAGCCTTAACCCTAGAAAAAAGTCCCAGCGGACAAACTGTTACTTTAGGTGTTCTGTGATCTGCCAGTAGCGCCTATGGCCTCTTCAATGGTCAGTGCCAATCCTGACGCAGTTCTTGTGGTTGGAAAAGCACTGGAGCTCAGTGCTGAGATCACGCTCCAACCTCAGGCCCTGCCCAGCCAACTCACGCTTTGTTCGTTTACTTCCTCTCTCTGAGTCTCAGTTGCCACCTCCAGAACATAGCAGGCCGTACACCCAGTTTAGTTTAGAGTCAGTGTAAAATACCTCCCAACTCTGATACTGTGATACTTTTGGTAAGGTTACCACTTTAATTCTGTTAAAAATTCTAGAACAGATACGTGGTTACTTGCAATAACACTGAAGAGAAATGCTTATTGGACAGTCTGGGGAATATTTCGGAGAGAAGGAAAACAAAATGTGTAGAAACAGAAGAGGTGACATGGGTGCTTAAAACACCGGGAGAGTCCCTGTGAAACTCGGTGACCAATGAAAGTTTTGACCCCGAACTTTTAAAATAATTCCCTCTGTTGCATGATATGGCTTATTTTAGCTTTGGGGTTCTACTTTTCTTCTTCTGTGTTCACATGGTTCACTCCTGTCCTACATTTAAGAGCATGCAGAAGAAGTCGGATGGTAACATCTACTTCATTATGTGTTCTACAGCTGTATTTATCTTTATCGACCATTTTTTGGAATAAAAGTGAAACTAATTCAACCAAAAAAATATGTAAATATTTTTCCTCAATTTTATTGGTTCTTTTTTTAGAAGCCAAGTGACAATGGGATGATTTCGAGTTTCTGTTTTATGTGTGAAATGATTCGTGTAAATAGCATGGTAGAGGAAAGAGCAAAGACTTTAGAGTCAAATGAATAGGAAGTCAAACCCTAACTGCCATTTACTTTTTCTTTAGTTCCAGGGAAGTTGTTACTTTTAGCTTGAGTTTCTCTGTAAAAAGGGTAAAATAATACCTATCTTGTATGGTATTTGTGAATATTAAATAAAGTAAAATCTCTGGAACACATATATGCAAATATTTTTCTCAGTTTTAGACATCCTGTTCTTAATTTCTGAGATTGGTTATTTTTACTTTGTAGTAGTGTTACTTTTTAAAAATTAGTTTATGACCGTTATATTTGAATGAACTTAAATATTTTGTTTCTGAATTGTGAAGTGGCTTTTTTTTCTTCATAAAGTGGCTTTAAACGTCCACAACCAAACTAATAATACCTGTGTTACTGCACTGGATTAAAAATAATCTACATATTCTGAAACTAGTATTTATTCTGATCTCGGGTCAGTAAGGGCTGATAATATTTTATACCTGTTAATTATCTATTATAAGATTTCCATAATGAGGTATGTTTTTTAAGTTTTTTCCAAAATTCTATATATACTTTACATTTTTTAATTCATTTTATTGTATTTTTCCATTACTATTTAGTCCCCCATACACCTCTCTTGCCCCACAGTCACCACACTGTTGTCCATGTCCATGAGTCCTTTTTCCTTTTTGCTTGATCCCGCCACCCACTTATAATTTATCATCTTACTCCTTAAGATTTCAGCAGTTATATAAGCTTAAACTGTTTTAAGCTGTCATGTGTCATGAAAATAGTTACTGTTGATTCCAATTGCCTTAAACATTAAGTTGATATTTGCAAATTCCAAATAGTTTATAATTTAGTAATTGCTATCATCCAGTTGACTATTAAACAATGGAATGTCTATGGTCAGTTAAATCAGAGAGTTTGTTTTTCTTTATAAGTCCCTTGTACTTTCAGTATTTTACTATCAGGCAAACATTAATTGAATTCCAAAAGATTGTAATTTTTGGAACTGATTTTTTTCCCTGTAGGGAAAAAGCTATATAAACAAGGCTAAATTTCCAAACTATCATGCCAATGCTAATCTAGCTCACAGGAACCCTGAAATGTGGTTGAAATAGAATTGTTTCTCTGTGGAAAGTACACTGATTTACAGATCAGTCTGCCTGCCTAGGTGCATTTTAGGAACCTGGCTATAGAACCTGCCACTATCTGGCTGTTGGATGTCCTGGGGCATTGCTTTTAGGGATGAGGGTGTAGGTGGAGGGAAGATAGTACTTATTTTTCTTTCTGGAGGGGAAGGCTACCTCTGTTGCTTGCTCTCCCAGATCTTGAGGAAGAAAAGGCAAATCTAAAAGTGTTCTAAACTAAGAAAGAAAGGTTTGAGGGATCTTAGTTTTGACTTTGCCCACTTATTTGTACTGGTCTTTTTCAGTTTTGTTTTATTTTCTAACTAATTGTTTCTATTTTCTGTGTCCTCTCATACCCAATTTGTTTTTGAAAATTAGCCATTTTTAAGATCAGTGCAGTCTTCTTAGAGTTAGTGTTCAGAGTAGAGTTGTTGTGGGAAAACTTGTTACTAAAAAATCATGATGGGAATACTGCCTTGTATATGGATTATTAAAATTAAACTTTATATTGTTTTCACCCAAGAAAAATTGTGCCATATCCCAAACTTGTATCTGAAAATAAAAACTACAATTTTGCATGTGTTAGCTGGAAGGGATGTTTAAATCTTTCTTTTAAAAATGGTGAATATTTTGCTTACATAAACAAATTATGCTAAAGCCATGCCAAATTGGTTTCTGTAGAACCGAAAACGCATTCTTATCTTTTGTGTTATAACTTCCAAGTTTTGTGGGTAACTCATACTTTGGCCATCTTACCTGCTGTCCTTAGAAAGGTTTGGTTGATACTGACTTTAAGCATGTAAAAATCAGAAACTTGATTTTACTTATCGTTGTGTCTTTAGTGTTAAACATTGTGCCTGGCACATAGTAGGTGCTTAATAAGTATTCTTTAAATAGTTTTAGAGGATACTAGTTTGTCCTAAAGACATAAAAATATATTTACCCTGGCTGGTGTGGCTCTGTTGGTTGGAGCTTTGTCCTGTAAACTGAAAGTTCTCAGGCTGCGGGTTCAATCCCCAATAATGACACATACCTAGGTTGCAGATTCCATCCCTGGTCAGGGCATATATGAGAAGCAACCCGTCGATGTTTCTCTCTCACATCAATGTTTCTCTCGCTCTCTCTCCCTCCCCTCCCCTCTCTTGCAAATCAATAAGCTTGTCTTATAGTGAGCATTAAAAAAAATTTTTTAAGATGTAAATAAATTTAAAATTTGATCCCCAGGGGGCGCCCAAGTAGCAGTTAGTTCTCCCAATTTCAAGATAGAGGGATTTGAAGGAGACCTACCTCTGTCTTGCTGAAGTTTCTCATGTAACATTTCTGTTTACTCTCAGTGAATAAATGGTATGGTTGTGAAAATCTGAGCATTCTAAAATTTTCAGTTCCTGATTACAAATCCCTGAAGCAGATTACCATTCATAGATGAAACTAGATAGGAAGATCCACTGGACATTAAACTACTTTAAGAATAGGTTTCTCTCTCCTTTTGGTGGGATAGGGTAGAGTAAGAGATAGGTTGTTGGGTTTTTTAAAAAGACAATTTAAATCATTGTAAAAGAGAGTTCACAGAATTCTTGACTCTTCTGAAGCACTACCATTTCATTAAAAGTGGTTGTAAAATAGGATTTCTTTTGTTAAGAACATGGAGGAAAGACTATATTTTGATATTACTATCGTTTTTAAAACTTTCTTTTATTTTTGGCCTATTTTAGGTTACAAAAGTTACATACTATTTGGGAAAAGTTACGTCCTCTAATCTGAGGTCACTGGTATTAACTTTCTGGTGTTAACTGCTTCCTTGTCTCTTTCTTAATATTCTTATAAATAAAAATGCATATGTTTGTTTTTATGTCCAGTTGGGAATATTCTGTTTTCTATGGAATGTATCGTGGATTTTTTAAGGTCTTTACATGTAGATTTAATTCATTCTTATTAGCAGCTGCAGAATATTCTATAAAATGGATATTACATAGCATGGTTGTTCCATTCCCCTATTGATAAACATTCATGATAGTTTCCAGGAATTATTTTGCTCCTGCAAACAGTGCTTAAGTAAACTTCCTTTTAAAAAAAATTATGTATTTAAGTTTAGAGAGAGGGAAAGGGAGGGAGAAAGAGGGAGAGAAACATCCGAGTGTGGTTGTCTTTCACACACCCCTACTGGGGACCTGGATGGCAACCCAGGCATGCGCCCTGACTGGGAATCAAATGGGCCAGCACTCAATCCACAGAGCCACACTAGCCA